GAACCAGTATCTGATATCACCAGTCCTGAATTAGTATCTGATATCACCAGTCCTGAACCAGTATCTGATATCACCAATCCTGAACCAGGTATCTGATATCACCAATCCTGAACCAGTATCTGATATCACCAATCCTGAACCAGTATCTGATATCACCAGTCCAGAACCAGTATCTGATATCACCAGTCCTGAATTAGTATCTGATATCACCAGTCCTGAACCAGTATCTGATATCACCAGTCCTGAACCAGTAACTAATATCACCAGACCTGAACCGATATCTATATTTCCAGCCCGAACCAGTATCCAACATTACCAGTCCTGAACCAGTATCTGATATCACCAGTCTGAAACCGGTATCTCATATCACCAGTCCGGAACCGGTATCTGATATCGCCAGTCCAGAACCGGTATCTAATATTACCAGTCCTGGGTCGGTATTTTATATCACCAGTCCTGCACCAGTATCCGATATCACAAGTCCTGGATCGGTATTTAATATCATCAGTCCTGGATATCCTTTTTACTGGACCAGTATCAAAATCCTTCTACACTATATTGTACCCAATACTCCCTTCTGTTCGTTTTAAGACTCACCGTAACGCTTTGAACATTCTGTAGTTTGACATACTTGAGTTGAATAATAGCATCTTCCGTCACATCTTCTCTTGTTAATCTAAACAAGAGAACACATAATCCTTAATAATAACTTTCGTTGGAATTAATTTTTACTGAAAAGGCTTTTTGTATGGAATTTATTTTCACTGATTTTTGATGAGTTTAATGTGAACTATAGGAAAAAAAGTATATTCGCTGGATTTTATTTTCCCGGAATCATCCCTTCAGCGAAAATAGCGAAAATAAATTCCAAGCAAAAATAAAGTATTCTACAGTAGTTCATGACAGTGTTTCTCAACCTATGTTATATCATTAACTTATTCGCCACCAGACGTTCTTTAATATTCTAAAAATGAAACCTGATTTTGGAGCCAAAAATACTAAATTCCAGTAAATTTTCAGTTTCACTCAAAAAAAAAAATTTGTACCAATCTTCTGAAGGGAAGTGCAGACTATTTTGTGATGAAAGAAAGGAATTGGTGGTGAAAAGGTTAAAGGGCGGTAGTCGTCGTGCCGCATCCTGTTCGATATGAGACTCATAACGACGTATATAACGCGTGTAAAATACATTGTTTGTTTATATGAAATTAAATACATTGTTTGTTTACATGCGCGACAACCACAGTGCTTGAATGTTTCTCATACATGGAAATTATTATTATAAGTTAAGGGATACAAATCAGAAATTGAGATCACCAGATAAAAAGAATTTAAAAAAATAAATATTGTATTTCATAATAGATGCTCATATACACAAACCAGAACGTCAATGACGTAGATGCTCATCCGGAATTTGGATATGAGAGTAGAAACTTTTAGCTGCTTTTGTTTTTTTATTTTCCTGTTAGTCTTGAATTGACATATTGTCATAGGAAAAACCAATGATGCTGCGTAGATGGAGTCCTCATTATGTGTAGTTAGCATCTGTACAAGTTAAAGTGTAGTAAGAAGACCTTCTAAGGTAAAGTGTGAATATAGGTTGTGCCCAGTAACTTTGACCATTTAGGGGGAAAGTAGATGAAATAAAGGTTGTCAAATCAAATGAACCCTTATTAAAACAAGCGAACTGACGCTCACAATAGCTTCGCTGTCTCCATAGAGCTTGGTGATGATTATTGAAAAGGTTATTGAATGACTCTTACAGTGGATAAATGTAAATAGAGCTAAATGAACAAATCTAACAAAATCTTTGCAAGGTATACAAACAAAGTGATTGTGTTTCAAGAAAAAGTCGAAAATAACATAAAATGAGGCAACATAAAATGAACAAATCAGACAAAAATCGTAAACGCTGAATTTAAAATCGCTCCGTATCACTCATCATTGACAACGCTTAGGCAGAAAAAAAATCTTGTGTTTTCAGTAACGGGCCCCCAAAAGATAGGGCAAGGTTTTTTTTTTAATGGATCTCCGCAAGTCTGTGCATAGTCTATTCACTATGTTATTGTAACATTGCATAATAATAGTCTGATTAACTAGCATAGCACTATTTAGAAAAACAAAAAAAAACTTTTATTTTTGTACCAATGTCATACAATAGGGTATTTTGAATTATCTTTTAAAAAAATTAAACCAAAAACATTTTGGTGTAAAAACAAACTTTCAATCTAATGTTTGTGTTTAAAAAAATAAAAATGAAAAAAATACAATGCATTACCATGTTTCAAAATTACTGTTTTCAAAAAGTTGAATCTACTGACTGCTAATAAAATAATTATTTTGTCACATTGCCTGATGGGTACTGAGGACAAAAGTCACAGGAAGTACACATGCTGCCATGCAGAGTTGTTTTTTCAGGGAGCTTTCTTCTGCAGCTCCGGGTTTTCAAAATTCTGGAATCTTTTTTTTTTTACAGCATGCCTTTTATTGATGGTGATGTTCTGCATTCGACATCGTAAACATCTCAAACAAATCGTAAACGCTGAATTTAAAATTGCATTTCATATAACCGACAATAATATCGATGGATAACAACAACAACACCTTTTAATGAGAGCATCAGTTAGTCATTTGATGTATGGACGTATGATGATCACCTTTACATTACCTACAGGTGAAGCGTGAACGGCACTGTTTTACACCATGTTTGCCTAAACAATTAAAACAGAGTTTATTACGTCTGACAATGTCTAAGCGGGATTCACGTGTACTTACGGTTTGGCAATCGTTCGACGAATGCCGGCTTTTACAGTAGCTGCAGGGTCGCGGAATAAATCGTGATTTCACTGATCGAGTTGCAGATTTACTGTAAGTGTTGAGTTGTGGGAGGCGGTGAATTTAATCCATGGTTGGCGGTCGTCACTGGTGGGTTTGAATGGCTGTGTTGAGTCGAACCGTGAAACGCGGATATTTCATGGCGGTTGTTTTGAATGGCCTGCGTCGCCATGTTGAACGCGGCATGGAGGTAATACCTCCATGAACGCGGCGACTGATGAGTGGTACGTGTCCGGGTTGAGAATATTGTTTTCATGTCCGACATTGAGAACACGTATTTCTTGAAGCATGCATTCACTTAGCGTGGCTAATGTCCAGTCCTTGTTACCGTTCGAACGTATCAGTTGTTGTTGAAAATTAAGCGGTAGTTTTGAAAACATCGGGATTTCAAAGCTCGTACTGTTGTTTCTAATGCGTTATGAAATTCCCGTAAACTTGTTGCATTGTAATCCGGTGGTGGTTGGGACCATAGAGATTTCATATGTACATTGATGATTCCTCGAGGTTGACCATATCTATCGTGTAACAAGTCGAATGCGAGTTTGTAGTTCTTGGCGGTGCTTGGAAATCTGTTGATCAATCGTTTGGCTTCACCATCTACGTAGTTTCTGAGGTACGTGAATG